ATTCGTAAGCAAAAAAAAGCAAGTTATATTATTTACAGATTATAAATTCAAACAATGCAATTACTATGTTAATTTCATGTTAAGACTACTGGCAAATGTTAATCATATATAAGTAACTTTATTTTCCAATTCAAATATAATATTTCAATCCTCATTTATATAAAGCCACCAATTAAATATTTAATGAATGATTTTACTTATATTTTACTATCATTATTTATGAGTCATCAATTAATATCATCAACCGATAATATCAACATAAAATTTCTATAAAAATTATACAATAATTCACAAATTCGTGAAGCTGATTTTTCATTTTCAGCATTGTTAAGACGTGAGAGCCATCCATAGTTATATGAATGCACATTGAATTATTACATTTCTATTATGACTGAACAACGACAAAATCAATAAATGGGATGAATTATTATATTTCGGTTATGATTGGTCGAAGTAGATTTTTTATTTTTTGCCATCGATAAATGATGAATTAACTTGTCGATATGTAAGAAGCCGAAAAAATTTGACAATTTTATTGGTTGGTAATCATAAAGAATTTTATTTAAAAAAAAAGGTTTCTGAGTTCTTGCTCTAATTTTAGTAAGCCTCAAGATCCAAAAAGCTTGGACATCTGTTTTATAAAAGCATGCAACCATCTAATGTACCTAGTCATCAATACTAGTCCCATTAAACGAGAGGGTTTAAGGTTTCTACTGCATAATGCAAAATATTAATATTTTATTTTTATTTTTATATATAAGATAAAAATATTTATAGCAAGCATCTATATTGCTACTGTTAGGAAATTGTCGTTTAAGTCCCAAACTATTGATTTAATAATAGTTAGTTCTCTGACAAACTTTTTTTGAAAAATGATTTCTGTGTGGATTTATATTTTAAACTTAAATATCTCATAAAACTCTTGAATTTGTAACTGTCTGATAATTGCAATTCATTTTTTTAGAAAAAGAATTATTGAAAACTTAATTATCTATCTTTATTAAATTAATATTTTGGAACTTAATTATCATTCTCCTAACTAATTAATATCACTATACTTCAAAAAAAATCTCATAATTCTTCCCTTATCACCTTGTCAAAAGAAGAATTCTAAATATATAATGCAACTTTATATTTGTTCATATCTAGTATTAAAGACGAATGTCACTATTTTAGGGTTAATATTAATTTTTTAGTTGTAAGATAATATTATTATGATTTTAAATTTTTGGAATAAATTCATACTCAGAAAAACTTCTGAGTGCCCAGCAATCTTGGGTAAAAACTTCAGAGATTTAATCCTTTTAATTTACATAGAAGCTTCATTTGTGTTTTCATGAGATTTCTCTTCTTTTTTTTTTGCATAAAATGAATTTAAAATCCGCATTGAATATTCCAAATTTAAAACTGGTCAACTTGGGAATATGTATAGTTTCCTCAAATTTGGGTGATTTTATGATTCTCCGCACGCCAACGTTACGCGTCGCCTTCGCTTCGCCCTATTCTCATCCTCCACAGTTGGCCCAGCTTTTATATATATCAACTTCTCCACGACATACCAATTTTGACATTTATTTATAAATTATAGTCATCAACATTAACCCTAAATGTATATCCTGCTTAATTAATTAACATGTGGTGTCATAATATTGTTTCTCTTTGAAATTATAGCTAAACCTAATGATCTTCTTGCAATTTTTTTTTTTAAAGAGAAGTTCCAGGGGTGGCAATTCTTTTCAACATATATGCACTCAAGTTTTTTTTTTTTCCCTTTCAGATCAATACACTCTTATATTTAGTGCTTAGCTTGTTTTCATAGTAGGTGTCATAATACAATAAAGCTATCTGGACAAGAGAATTTTCTTTTGAAACCATCCTAAAATCTCAGCCCTTTTTTTTGTGGAAGTGATTCATAATTTTTTTGGGCCATTAATTCATAATTAACCATGAAAAGATATACCTTTGAATCTTATGTTTGTTTCTTACAAAATGTTGTCTTGTTTCGTGTTAGAGATTATGTTTGAATTTACACCAATATTTACTTTTTAATATTATCTATTTGCTTTTAGGAGACCAGACACGCCTTTTCTCTGGCCAAAAAACAAAATAAAATAAAAGTAGTAAAGAAGAAGACACACCTTTTCAAAGATGTAAGATATATATAGGCAATAACGTTATAGTTTAATAACATGAAAATATTTTGTAAATAAACAGCATCTAATTGTCTGATTAAAAAAAAAACAGAGAGAGATAAATTGAAACATGGCTTTTAAATGTGAGACATTGAGCCTCACTATTACAAACTATCCCAATCAAAAAATATCACAAACTACTCAAATAATTTTGATGTCGTATTTGGATAAAATCTTCTACTTTTCTTTTCGCAGAATGAGGGGTCCCTGAGGTTAAAAACTAAAACTTAATTAATTAATTAATCAGGGCAGAGAGACACGTTAATCACATTTGAGGTGGATTCGAAGGTGTATGATAATCTTTTTGTGACCATAATGTATGGTTATCGTTGCTATATTGATAGAATACTAATGAACGTGTTATTTTACATGTACATATAATGGTATTGAACTGATCAAATGAACTTTTTGCAACCATGTTTTTCAAAGGAAATTATCTTAAATTGAATTAATAATGACCGTTTTGTTAACATAAGATGATGCAAAAATAAATAAACTCCTTTTTTTTTGTGACATGTAATTTGGAATTATAAACTTTTATTTTGAGTTCTCGCTCGCTTGATCAACAGGAAATTCCGTAGTATATATACTGAATCTGTCCAATTTTCTATGTTGATAAAAGTGAATTAGACGTGAGTTCAATCTTTTTTGCATGAAATTAAAAAATAAATCACATACTATGATTTAATTATTAATTAACGGTTTAATTTGTTGTATATAACATGCTTGGAAAGTGATAGAAATAAAAAAAAGAAATAATTAACAAACATAAAAATAATATTCCTGTTTTATAAACATACATAATTCGCAAGGCCCTGGTTCATTAAAATTATTATATCATATATATTGGCACATTCTTTCTTAGAAAACTTGTAAATAAAGACCCTCATATCTGAAATTACGATTTGAGACTCTCAATTTGAAAAATAACAAATAAAGATTATGTCTCATATTGTTAATATGAAATTTTGGTGAAATGTCTGAAATGTCCCTTAGTCAAATTGTGATTTAATCTACTGAAGTTGTCATTTGCTAAAGTAAACTTATCATTTGTCATACTAGCCATAGTCAATTTGTCACTTGGCATATACTCAGCCAAGTTGTAATTTGGTCTACTGAAATTGTCATTCAATAAAATGAATTTGTCATTTCCCATAGTCTAACTTGTCATTTGGCTGAGGAGCATTTAAAATATTTCATTAAGATTTTATATTTGCAATATGAAACCGGGTCTTTATTTGTTATTATCCAAATCAAGAGTCCTAAATTTCACATATTGGGGGTTTTATTTGCCATTTGTCCTTCTTTCCTTTAAATTTATATATAGGAAGTACTACTATTTAATTTAAAATTTTGGCAATTACCTTTATCCAAATCTACGCCCAGCCACAATAGTCATGAAATTGAAATATCCATCATGTCAGGTTTTAAAAGACATGAATGCACGGGCAGATCAGTTGGCACTTTTGACTTTTTGTTTTTTTTGGCCATGGACACCTTTGACGTTACCATCTATAGTGATCCATTTTCGTGTAAGATATGGTAATTTCGGTACTTAATATATAAACATTATTTTTATATTTAATTTAATTATAAATATAAAATTCTAATCGAATTTATTTTAATATTTATTTATTTTGCTTTTAAATAATTCATATAGTTGTTACATATGTTAAGAAATTACTATCAATGAGTATAATTCAAATACTAATTAATAAAAGTGTTTTAAACAAAAAAAAAACAGCATCTATTTATTATAAATAATTAACTTCTATAGTTATTTTTAAATTAATCAACTACATCTTATATTAAAAGATGGAAGTGGTATGATCTAGGGCTCATTTGATTCACCCCCAAGATATCTATAGTTTCATACAATAAATTGTAATGAAAATACAATGCAATAGTAATCACATACTACCTCCGGTCCTAATTATAAGAGCCAGTTGACTAATTTGAGGAGATTAAGGAAGTATGTTGAGTTAGTTATTTGTCCTAAATAGGTGTTGTCTTTCCTAAAATATCCTTGCTAATCAAGTGTATTGACTAAAACTCTTATTATTAGAAGGGCTACTTTAGAAAAATATATATAAATATGAGAAATAAAGTGGATTGAGATCTTATATTTAAGATCAAAATAAAAGTCAAACAGGATCTTATATTAAGAACCGAAAATAGTATATAAGTGCGTACACACTTGAACATGTTAACGCCAAATTCAGATTTAGAATTTCGTTTAAACATGACGGGGGCCTCATCTAGACAACTTGCAGTTGATGCGTCAGCTTAGGCATAACTTCAACTTGTGTGTTTTTGGCACATTTTTTCGGTGCCCTTTGCATAACTTGGTTTTTTTTTTTTGGCGAACAACTTTAATAAATATTTGGTATTAAAAAAATGGAAATATCGGTTCACTTTGTTTGGGGGTGGGTGGTTGGCGCGGGGTTCAAAAATGAGACATCGGGTCTCAGTCTGACAAATCAAGCTCCCAGCTTCACTCTCAGCCTCACAAGTAGTTTTCAATTTCCCTCCAAAAAAAAAAATCTTTCATAAAATGAAAAGAAACATTTAAAAAGAAAAATCTAAGCTGACGTGTCTATTCCCGGCCAATGCACTATCCGACAACCAAGTTCCTCTTCCTCCTCAGCAACGTGTAAATGACGTGTCAGAGAAATCCAAATCTCCCACGTTTGGAAAATTTCATGACACGTGGCAACTTTTACGGCGTCTTCCTTCCTCCTTATTTTCCTACCTCGCTTTCTATAAATAAGGCGTCATTCATTTCGCTTCTCTCACTCGTCGTCCGATTCTTCTGCTTCTTCTTCTAATTCAAATTCTCTTGCTTCCATAATTTCCCCTCTGGTAGATTTCTCTCTTCCTCGGTTTTCTTTTTCCCACGCGTTAACATTTTCTCGGTTCATTTTCAAGGGAGAGATAGAATATTTTCCTTTTCGATCTTGTTAATTAATTTTCTCGTGAAAGAAAATGAAGGAAAGCGCAGGAAACCCTCTGCATCTTAAGTCCGTTAACCACATCTCCCTCATCTGCAGATCAGTGGAAGAATCCATAAACTTCTACCAGAACGTTCTTGGCTTCTTCCCTATCAGGAGGCCCGGCTCTTTCGATTTCGATGGCGCCTGGTAATTTCTACGTACCCTTTCCCTCCTTCAAAAAAATAATAAATAAATAACCCAAGAAACGTAACAGGATTGTTTTCAATAGTTTCCTTACGTTTTTGTGTTTGATGATGAACTGTGTGAAGGCTATTTGGGTACGGGATCGGAATTCATTTGCTGCAAGCAGAAGACCCGGAGAACCTTCCCAAAAAGACAGAAATTAATCCAAAGGATAATCACATATCCTTCCAGGTGAGATCATATTATGCTCAAAAACGTGGTTTTGGGTTCTGAACATTACTTTTGCCCTTTTTTGGAACAAAACTCTTCTTATATACTACAAATGTGTATTGATCTCTCTAAATTATCCTTTGGTATGAACTTCTTACAATTAATAGCGGTATTTTAGGGAAAAAAAATTAGATAATGCAGGTGAAGTTTTGTATTTAGAATCAAATCTAACTCTTCACTAGTTTTATACTATCTCCAGTCCCAATCATAAGACCGTATTTGTAGACCACAAACGAGGTCTTATAATTAAGACCAGAGGTAGTATTAAGGACTAAAGGTAGTATTTATCTCATATAATGTAAAATCACGTGAAATAAGTTAAATCAAACACCCACTGGCTCTCAATTGTCAAACGGTTTTACTGATGGATGATGGTGATTTGTGTTTTGAAGTGTGAGAGCATGGGAGGAGTGGAGAAGAGGCTGAGGGAGATGGAGATGGCGTACGTGAGGTCCATGGTAGAGGAAGGTGGGGTTCAAGTGGATCAGCTGTTTTTCCACGACCCAGATGGGTTTATGATCGAGATATGTAACTGTGACAGTCTTCCCGTGGTCCCATTGGCCGGTGAGGTTGCCAGATCATGCTCTCATCTCAACCTCCAGATGATGCAGATTCAACAAGTGGTCCATCCCTAATTAAGAACACACCAGTATCAGATTTGAATCCCTCTCAGATATACATCAATAAGACTATTCCACTTGATTTATTAGGGTTTATCTTTGTCCTTCTTCTTTTTCTCGTAATTAATACTTGTTTGGAAGGATATTCAAATCAATGAAATAATTCCATCATCGCCCCAGGAAGAGGAACCTAGTACCTTCTTGTTCTTTATCCTTTAATGTGGTTTTGTTTATTATAGTTGATTAGGTTGGTTTAAGTTGTAAATAATTGCATGGTTATCCCAAACTGTTACGTAATTATGAAATGATCAATGATAAATTAGTAGTATTATTGTTTTGTACCATTTGGTTGATGTGGCTTCGTATTGTCCTTGATCAAAGTCCACCACTTGCAGCTTTCATTATATGGTGGTGGGTCCTTCAGGGCACGTCGCCATCGTTGTACGGGTAAGTTCTCATCAACATTTCAAGGATCAGCAGTATTCTTTCCCTATCACTTTCCATAGCCTACTTCTTTGTCAACAAGGCCACACTCAAAACCCATGGATCAATAACCTGATTTTTGCTTGCCATAATCTGTTCATATAAGCCGTAGTACAAATTCTTTTCACATGCTTACTTTATAAATTATAAAATCATGATTGAAAAGCCAGTTCAGGACTTTAAAACGTCCCTCCAAATAAGCATGAGAAGCAATGAGTTGATGAACATTGATAGACCAAGATTGAACCAAAATCGTTATAATTAAAATAATATAACTTAATTAAAAAGACATTAATTAATAACTAAGTGAACGAACACTCGTGTATAAATAATACATAATTCAATAAAATAGAATTACGAAAGTAAAAGATATTGATGGATTGTTTCTTCCTTTAAAAAAGTCAAAATGGCATTGCTTCAAACTTGGTAAAAAAGAAAAAAACTAAAATTCAAATTCACTACTCTAAATGTCCGACTTAGATTAGGTTTTAGTACTACTCCTCCGGTCTTTAATATAGGACCCAATTGTTGAGTTGGTTTTGGTCCTAAATATAAGACCCATTTATCATATTTATCAATTTTCTCTAAAGTATCCCTATGATACTCTCTCAACCATAATCAAGTAGAAGATGGAGATGAGGTATTAAGAAAGATGATTATGGTATTTAGGAAAAACATGTCACATTTTTTATAATTAACTAACTTACCTAACTTCCTTAATCTAATCAAATTAGTTAAATGAATCTTATATTAAGGACCGGAAGAGTATATTGTTTCAGGCTTTTAAATATTTATGAAATTTTTACGCTATATGCTTTTCAATCACTAATGCCGTCATAACTAAATCCTAACTTGCATGGCTCCATTTAGGGGTGAGCAACAAACCTATTACCCGCTAACCCGCCCATGACCCATGAAATTTTTTCCCATTTAAGCCTGCCCAATTAGCCCAAATAAAAGATTATAAACGGATGGGCTTAAATGGGCAGATTAGCCTATTAAACGGGTTGGGCTATAGGCAAGGTATTGGGCTGCCTATACCCGCCCGTTTAAGTTTTAATTTTTTTAAAATATTTTTATTCTTCATTTAATTGATGATATTATTTCTTATTCATCTTTTATCAAACATTCATGCTTGTCTAAGCTTTTATTTTATCCTTTAGGTGAAAGTTGCAACTTTCAAAGTTTATGAGACTTTATGATTGGTGACTACTTTTATGATTTTATCAGACTTTGATTGTTTGCGAATCTAAGTGAGGTTGTGTGATTGAATATGATTGATGTTATTTCATATTTGATTTGCTATTTGGCATGCAAAATTTATTGACAGCTTCATAAGATTACATATAAAAAATAATTATACTGAAAAAAAATTTAAAAAAATAAATGGGTTACCCCGTAACCCGGTTAGTCCAAACGGGCTGCCCCGTAACCCATTTAATACGGGCTAAATGGGCTACTACCGGGTTATGGGTTAGCCCATGCCCATTTATGAATAAATGGGCGGGCTATGGGCTAACCTTCGGGTTAGCCCACCCTGCCCATTGCTCAGCCCTAGCTCCATTTGTTGCTCTCTCTCTCTCACACCAAGAACACAATATGTTGGGTGGCGTTGTAGATAATATATATGGAGGAGAATCCAGGATCAATTGCTTTGAATGAGGCAGATTCCCGTTATTAATTGTGACTGCCCAAAAAAAAAAAACAGCATAGTTGCTTTAATTTAATTAATTCAAATGTAATACTTTAATTTATTTTGTCTTTTGAGTTTATAATTTTTTTTCTAAACTATGTATCTTTATTATTCCACATCTTAAACGGATATTTCTAGGTAGTATAAATTATTAAAAAGATATTTTTTTTTTAACGAAACAGCATAGATTTGTTCACAAAGAATTAAGTTAATTGATTTTATTAATTTCCATAAATTAAATATTTTATTTTTATTTTAGAATGGGAGGCAATATATGGTTGGTTTGGTGAGGAGGAAAGGACAATTATGATGACGCCCAAAGGGAGGCAGAGACAAGGACCCTTTTTCTTTTGCCACACTAAAGTTTAGCCGCATATATACATGTATACAAACAACGTGTCCATTTTGTTTTTTTTTTTTTTGAGTCTGAATATGTCACTATATTAGGCAAATAGTAAGTATCATGTCATTTGCGTCTTAAGACAAGTCATTTACTTCTTTTTCCCTACCCCACTGGTGCTTAAATAATCTTGATAACTAGTATAAGAGAGGGGATGCCGCAGATAGCGTGAAAAGCTAATTATGATTATTAAGGTCGAACCCTGCTACTAATTATAATTATTTATGTGTGAGGTTTTGAATTTGCCTTCTTTGTAGGTATCATATTACCTCCGGTCCTTAATATAAAAGTTAGGTATAACTAATTTGATGTTATTAAAAATTTAATTAAGTTAGTTATTTGTAATGAACGGATATTATCTTTTCTATAATACCTATATTAATCATATGCGTTAGAACTATCAGTTGATGAAAACTTCTTAACATGTGTAATTATCATAGGCACTACTTGAAAGCAAAATGCATAAATATTTGAAACAAAGTGTATTGAAAGTTTATATTTAATATCAAATTAAATTTTTAACCAGCTCTTATGTTGAGGACCGGAGGTATAAGCGGGTGAATTCTTTGTGTGAGATCGTTAAATGAAGGAAAACAAGAAAAAAAGGATTTATAATAGAGGGATATGAGTTGCGAGCAGAAGGTGCCTATGAGTTATGCTAGGGAGAAAAACAAATTAAACTGCTTCTTGTCCTTAAAATAATTTAGTTAGCTATTTGTAAGAAATATGTGTTAGTATTCAAAATTATCTTTTTAATTAATCAATAGAATTGAAAAATATTCCAATAAAAACCCATTAATAAGTGCAACTAATTGGAATAATTTGAGGAACAAATTATAAATTTGAAAGAGGTTGGAATATTATATTTATAATCCAAATAAACTCCTCAGTTATCTCATACATTTAGAGCTCATATCGCCTTCGTCTCTTACCAAATTCAAATCCAAGTATGCAACAAAAGCTAGAGGCCTCTAGCAAGCATCTGCTCATAATTCTCAATGGACTGAAGTCTCTGGATCATGAGTTGTTTCCTAAAATTGTTGATGAAAGCTTCAGCACTCGCATTTATGTCTTCCGTCGTCGTCCTCTCCAGCGTCTGTTTCTTCCCCTCTTCTTTTCCCGGCGACGATCCAGCCGCCGCTTCTTCCTCCTTCATTGATCTCTTCTCCTTCAAATCCATGACCTTGTAGTTCTTGTAGTTCTTGTTCTTCAGCTCTTCTTCGTAGCCTTTTCTCATTATTGGTCTCCTCTTGAAACGTCAAGTAGCCTTATGTATATAAATGCTTGATGATGACTGAAACAAGATAATACGGTTGACAGATATATATATATATATATATATATATAAAACAAGACAAGAGGGAACAAGTGGAACATGGCCTTCATTAATTTGTGTTTTGTGTGTAAAGATGGTGACAATTAAGTGACAGCTATGACAAGCTGTAAAAGGATCCTATTGAGCTTCCAAAATTAGCGCCAAATATCACATATGATTATTTTAATAAAAAAGCTATTTATATATATAATAAAAAAGTCCCATATATTCAATTAAATATATATGCATGAATAAAATAATGGGCCATCACATCCTGCCGACTTTATTTGGGGTGTGAAAGTTACATAACAAATTAAAAGTCAACATATAGAAGCATATGGGTGCAATTATTTGAGCATTATGGAAACCCATCTTGCGGCTTAAGAGTTGCATAATGTATATGTAAATAAATAAGGTACATTGCATGCACCAGTATGAACATAAATACGGATATATGAATTATATACGCATGCCCATCCTTGGAATTATGCAAATTAGATACTTGCATGCACCTTTAACACGTACGGTTTCCTACCCCCTTCTACCATTATTTTGGCATAAATTTGGCACTGAATTAGGAAATAAGGGCTTGTTTGATTTTATTATCTATTTTCATGTTTCTACTTTCTAAAGTAATTCTGTAAGGTAATTTTTCAGAATAAGTTTTGAAAATAAAAAAATTTAAAAGTTTTGTTTGAACTATTATTTTGAAAAGCATATCTAAAATGAAGTGAAGGGTGAGAAAATAGTTTGTTTTCTGAGCATAATGGTCATTAATGAAAATAGTCGAAATACAATGGTCTTTGCTTATTCTCTTCTTTTTTTCTTTTTTTGTTCTTCAGAAATTTTTTTAACTTTTTTTATTTTTTTTAAATGCATAACTAAAAAGACACTTAAAAAAAAAGGTAAGATTTCAATATTTTGTTTTGCAAAATTTATAAATCTTTAATTTTCTTGTAAACTCCTATTGATTATGCGTATTAAAGAAAGTCTTCATTAATGAGGGTAATTTCTAATGTAGATTATTAAAATGAGTATACTTTAGGAAAACAAACACGTATTTATTACACATAAAGTAACTAAATTATTATTTTTTAATATCTATACATTACCTATCTGCATTTAGAATTGTAGGGGGTGTCATATTGCAATAATCATATATGACTAATTAAAGTGAATCCGATGTATTTGTGTATAAATTTTGAAATGGCTACTAAAGCTTGGCCTCGTTCATTTACATGAAGTTCAAAGTGAATCATACTTTTTTGTCACTTATGAAAATGTAGCTTTTCTACTATTTTCTTTAGATAGATTAATGAAGATGTAAACTTTTAATCAGTCTCTTCTTTCAAAAAATAGAGTTTAAACTGAAGCATAAGGAGAAACATGCACAAATTTGTCAAGAACACACACACACACACAGAGAATGCAGATAGGATTTTCTTTTTGGGTCTGTAGCCACATCGTTCTGACTGTTTGTGAGTGACTTGGATTTTTGAAGCCCAGGCACAGCTATAGGCTATATAGACCAACAACGAACTCATGTCATGAATTGTCCTTTCACCAACCCAAAAAAAAAAGAAAAAGGAAGAGGCCCCTTCACTGTTAAGCCGAAACAAAGAAAAGGTAAGACCTTCACCCTCCAAGCACCACACCATTGTCGTTGATTAAAAAAACAGCACAATTTGCAGAGCTCACGTCCCAGAAAGCCCATGGAGGCGCTTCACCGTCTATCATTTCGTTTCCTCTCCGTACCCCTAGCTGAAAGGTGCCTCCTAACTGCTTCAACAACCCCGACATTGTCCCCTGCCCGAGTATCACTATTCAAAGCTGGAAATTCACTGTTCTATGGGAACCCCACTACCTCGAAGTCTTTCAACTCGGCATCTCCTAGGAGGGTGGCCAAAGCAGGATGGTTTGTGGGTCTTGGAGCTGATAAAAAATTAAGCTTGCCTGACATTGTCAAAGCCGGTGACCCAGTTCTCCATGAACCTGCCCAAGAAGTTAATCCTGATGAAATAAGCTCCGAGAGGATCCAGAAGATCATCGATGATATGATAAAGGTCATGAGAAAGGCTCCTGGGGTTGGCCTAGCGGCTCCGCAGATTGGAATTCCCTTGAGGGTCAGTTAAAATTTTGATGATTTAGATACACAAGGTTCCCCAAATTCTTCAATTTTCTTGACTTTGTTCTTCTCGGTGCAATCTGAATTCTCAGCTCATTTGCCCTGTGTGGGTCACTGTAACTGTTTCATGGGGAAGAAAGCAACCGTGACAACACGAGGAAGAAAACAACCATGACAATAAATTGTGCTTAAAATATGATTCTTTGGTCGTGTACTTACTCTTTGAGCACAGGTGCTCTGTCATGATGTTTCCATTAATAGTCGACGGTCTAGGTGGTTCTCCTTGGTTGCCTTTTCATCTTATGTCTCTTGATTAGCGACTTAAGCGAACTTCTTAATGGTTGTTTGTTGAATTTTGTAAATTGAAATCACCGTCTTTGGGTCTAAAATACCATATGAATATGGGACATACAGAAATACCTGGAGGCGCCAGGCGGGCGGACAAAAGGCTGCTTAACTTGCTTCTTAATGCGAAGTACAATATTCATTATGTAAACATGACTTCTAAGTAGTGGAGGAGTCCATTGGTGACTAATTTTATTGCTTAACAATATATTGAAGATCTAAAGTATCGTGATTTATAGTAATAGCATACTGTTCTGAGTACTACCGAGGAATGTGCTGAAATAATAATAAGTATGTATTGCCTTTTTGTTTATGCAGATAATTGTTTTGGAAGATACAACAGAGTATATTAGTTATGCTCCCAAGGAAGAGATAAAAGCTCAAGATAGGCGACCCTTTGATCTTTTGGTATGTCCATCCCACAGAAGAGAAAAGCTTGCAATAAATTCTGTAGTTTTTTTCCTGAAGGTATGTTATCTTGAAATACAAATTCATTAGTTCTGTTGAGGCAGGTTATCCTAAATCCAAAGCTGGAGAAGAGAAGCAACAGGACGGCCCTATTTTTTGAAGGTTGCTTGAGGTAATATTCTCATTATTTGGAAAGGACTTATTTTAGATTTTTTTTCCCCTGCCATCATAGTTGCTTTGCACACTACCAATTGATTCTTTTTTGCACATGGTACAATTCAGTAACTGTGACCAAGTCAGGCTAGAAATATAAGACCATGCACACCTTTTATAACTCTTCAATATGAGTTCTTGAGCATCCTGCATAAATGTACGATACTTGAACATTTAAATGAACTGTCAAGAATGTGGATGTGGTGTTCTTTCATAAGTAATGTCGGTCCTTCATTTAAGCATTTGGTTTATAGTTGATGTGGTTGAAAATAATAATTGTTCTTAATGGGTAAGAGGAAGGTTGTCAAACCCTAGAGATGCTGAGATTTTTTTTTTTTTTTTTGGTTTTATTCTCGGGTGGGGGATGGCTCTGATGGTTTAGGGGTATATCTAATGGATTTTATATATATGCCCATGACATATTGTAATTTCAATGCCTCTTGAAGTGGAAAAAAGAAAACTAGTTAAAAGAAAGAGTAGAGAGTAACAGACAGCAGTATGTCTGGTGAACCAAAGAAGAATCTTTTAGGCTTAAGGAGCAATTGATCAAATTGAGGGCTTCTTGTTGAGAGAGCAGTCTATTATTCTTCAGATGTGGGGTGGGATGTGGCAAAGAGAATATTGGTAGAAATTTTCCCCCAAAAAAAAAAAGAAGAAAGAAATAAAAAAGAAAAATCCAATTTCATAAAAATTTTACAATAGTAAGTTTGGTTTTTAAATTTGTTTGTGGCCCTAATTTGGTTGCAATTTGATGCATTTCCTGGTCTAAACCCTTGAAATTTTGAGTGTATTGTTAAGTAGCTAATTTAACACCGGTTCAAGGAAATATCAAATCCTGATTTATTCCTTAATCTCTAATTATCGAACAATCTCAGTATTTTTGTACAAATCCACCGTAGTATTATTAATTATATGTAAACAAGTTAAAGATGACTATTCGCATATGCTCTGACGATGTCAAGATGTTGGGATCTTAAGAACGTTCTAATCACTAAATACAATATCATCTATACTCAAGTTTGGTGTAAATGTATTTTGTGTCCAACATCCAAATGCTTTGTAGCGAAGTACTGAGCAAATGTTTAAGCATTTGATTTCTGATTTATCAATTTGAAGAGTAAACATGGCTGCAGTTAATTATAGGGGATTCGCAATTGCAACATGGTGGGATTAGATACTGTCTATTGGGTTATCTTCTCAAGTTCAATTCAGTCGCAATATGATAGAGGTAAAAAAGAATTGACCGCATTCTTGATGTGGGTCACAGTTTCTCAATATAATAATTCTAGCCTGTATAGTGCTTTGGGTTTGATGTGGCAATGAGGTGTGTAACAACATGTATTCATTGTTATCCATAGTTATTAACATCTTCCTCCTTATTGATATTCTGCAGTGTAGATGGATTTAGAGCAGCGGTGGAGCGATACCTTGATGTTGAGGTCACAGGTCTGGATCGTAATGGAAAACTCATCAAAATAAATGCTTCCGGCTGGCAGGCTCGAATATTACAGCATGAGTGTGATCATCTTGATGGAACCCTCTATGTTGATAAAATGGTTCCTAAGACTTTTAGAACGGTAGAAAACTTGGACTTGCCTCTGGCCCAGGGCTGCCCAAAACTAGGTCCTCGCTGATCCCGGGTTTTGATGCTGCCTTCCACTTTTTGCTAGAGCATCAAAACTGGTTTCTTATGAATGTTAGTGAGGATTCGTGAGTCCAAATTGAAGTATATCATCTATATGATTGAATGCTGTCTCAATTTGAGCATGGGGAAAGCCCTGTAAGTTTTGTTGTATTATGTTCTCGTAACTTCCATATGATTGAGTGCTGCTGTCTCAATTTGAGCATGGGGAGAGCCCCTTAAGTTTTGTTGTATTATGTTCTCATAACATTTTTTTAAATAATATCTACCTTTTCAGTTTAATTCCCTTCAGGTAAGGTTCAATGTTAAGGCTTATTTGGAATTACAATTCAGAGTCTTCAGAGGCACTTAAAATGGCTGAGCAATGTTAATCTTATATGCTATTTTGGAGATTCCAAGTTCCAGTCCTATTGCTAACAAGAATAGGTTGTCCTCTCTGCGTCGCCGCTAGTAAAGCAACACGTGCAGATGATTTTACGATGATCTACGAACTCTAATCAGCAGATTCTCTATTGGACATATCTTCTTCGTACAGTACTTTCAATAAACTTGGATGCTTCAGCTGACGTGTAAATTTGGACTCTCATAGGCCAATCATCAATAGAATTGTAAGAATATCAGACACGGTTTGAATTTAAAAAAAAAAAAAATTTACCTTTACCATAATTACATATTTATTGTTGATTTGTAATGAGCTAAGTTTACTTGGTATGCCTGAGAATTCTTCGACCACTCAAGAGGAAGAATTAAACTGCACCTCCCCAATCACCTGGAATTTGTTACTGGTAAACTGGTTACAGAAAAGGCATCCATATACTATATAATCATATTTTCTTTACAGAGTGGGTTTGCTCAGGTATATGGAATAAGAGTCCAATTCTTCCAAGATTTTCTGCGCACTGAGAAAATTACCGGTCTCTGGAAAACAATGAGGAGGGTAAACCCGACCATTTGTATAACCATGAGCTTGCCAGCAGTATGATCTTATGTTTCCTCCAAAGCCTAGTGTGAGATAAATATCTTCCAGGTATAACCTTTCACAAGGAGAGTCATCACTGCAAGCAAATTTTATAGCTTCCTCTGTTGCTGAAGTTCCTCTGATACCAATGAAGGATATATTCTCCACCTTGACAGCTGAGGTCTGTATTTCGTTAAAATAATGGATGTTAACATATGATTTGATACAAAACTTCACGTTCCAAAGCAGTATCAAAGGAAAATTATGAACATTTATTTATCTGAATCTTGAAGAGAAATGAAGGGCAATCTTTCTTGGAGGCTGAAAATAAGTGTGTACTATGAGCTGGGATCGGCCAACAGAAAAATTAATTAGTAATGTGACAAAACACTGTGGCAGGCTAACGCCTGAAAATGTTACCAGGGAAAATTTTTATACCTGGTTCCGACAAGGATGGGGGGAATCGCAGTAAAACTGGTCTATTATAATTGGGTTTGACACATTCTCCATCACAATATTCTTGAAAGTGATCTTGGAAGCAAAACCATCACCACCCTAGCGAAGAAATCACACAAGTTGATTAGCATGTGCATCTCTGCATGACAGAAGAAATGGAAAGTGCTTCAATCTTGTAAAGAAGTCTTACCTGCCATGTTTTGATCCTCACTCCATTATCAGTTTGATAAAGATAAGATTCACTAACCATTACGTTTTCTACCTTCTCCCATGATCCATTTTTTCCTAAGCTCCCAATGCTGAAGATCAGGTTTTGGTATTACTTAACATGTTCTTGCTTCTTAATGTCTAAAAGCATAGTCAATTGAGGGGGGGAAAAAAGACTTTCACCTGATGCCATGGCCTGGACCACAAGAAATGTTTCTGATCTTTATCTGTGACGAGTTTCTTACTATCGAGATACAATCGTCTCCTGACATTAACCATGATGATGATGATATATAATTTTCCCCGATTTCATTACTGGTTACGGATAAACATGGTGTTATTTGGTTATTTATTGTTCATTTTGCATTTGTGTGATTATTTTCTTGCCGCTCTTTCATCTCTCGGACAGAAACATGGAAGAACAGTTAACTGCTTAAATTTGAAACAGATGGTTTAGAAGTTAGAAAAAGCTATGCATCAAATACTGAAAAAGTATGCAGAAGTTGACAAGCATGTCATATTCAACCAGTTATTTAAGCAGCAAAGACTTCTCAGGAAAATACCAGCTCACGAGGATGAAGAACAATATTTATGTGATATAAAGCTAATGTCGAACTTTTCTAAAGATTATAGCACACCTGTTCTAATTAAGCTGTCCTTGACCTCTATACCCTTTGTTCTACTAATGTGGATTCCATCAGTGTTAGGGCTGGAAGCCGGAGCCAAAACAGCAAGCTTTGATGCAACAACTCTCATACAGTTATTAAATGCCATGTGCATTTGTTGGCTATTTAGGATCGTAAGTTCTCCAACCTTCAGATTCTTGCATTTATAAAAAGTGATTGCCTGCAGTGTAAATATAGATTTATATTCATCTGATGAACAGATTATCAAATGGAAAGCGTTGGGGCAGCACTCACCGTTGGAGCAGGTCGACATGGCTGCCAAAGGAAATTTGGAGTCACTTAAAAGCTCTATACTCACAACATTCGAATTTTGTTTTGAAAAAAAGGGACATGAATCTTAAAATAGGAAGGTAGACGTACATTTGATGGCTTGGTCTTGCAAGATCTGTCCCACCATTTCTGTCCCATTCCATTGATTTTTCCTTTACCTTCTAGAGTGAGATATTTCAAGCCGTGGAAGTAAAGCCATTTTCGCGGATTTAAACCATCCCAGACTTCAGGATCTTTTGGGGCAGATATTGTACCTAAGATCTTTCCAATATTTAACAAAGGTCATTGAAAGATAGAGTTCCTGGAATTGAACTTGAATGTCTAAATAGATGTAATTTTCTATGCATACTTTTAAAGTGATCTTAGATCTGCAAGGCCCTCCCATATCAATTGGATAAATCAGAAACTCCTTTTCAGGTGGGAACAGGATAGTTATTCGTCCAGACATGGCACAAGCAGTTTTCCAGACTTCTTCCACTGCCTGATAAAAGAAAAGGGGAACAAAAGATGTTAAGAAATGGTTTAATAATATGATGATGCCTGAACGCCGAGTTAGCAAATGCAAAATTTTACCTCATTTTATCAGATGAGTTTTCTTAGATTTCTCACTTATTGCCAACAGGTAAGAAAATTCAACAGCAGGAAAATCAGTTAGCTATCTCTTGAAAACCTCTTAGGTAGATTCGTCAACAAAATATAACTGTGGTTCACACCACGTGAAGAGAGACCTCAAAACAAGCAAAAATCACCTTTTGCCATGCTTATATATCCCTTCATAATTGATTATGCTTATTCTTTTTAGAACAAGTTTTCCCAAGAATCTCTCATACTTTCTTTGGGTAAAACTTGCAGTTAAGTATTTAAGCAAATTGATATGCAATCCCACATATTCATGTAGCAATAGTAGATTCTCAGAAAACCTTACTTTAGCAGTAGATTCTCCAAGAAACCTTACTTGGTTACAGGATTTACGGCTAAAGAATACATTCTGTTAACTCATGGGTACTAATGTTGTCGCCCCCAAAGTATGAAACCTCAAAAGTTGAGGCCCTCGTAAGCAAAAAATGAAAAACCTTATTTAAAGAAAGGGCACTGTTTCAGAAGCGAATAGCAAAATATAGAAAGGTAAAGTTAACGAAACTAACATTACCTTGGTGTCATTATGGTGGCCATCCCCTTCTGCCCCATACTGAGCTACAGAGAGGACCCGTTTAAGACTGCAGCGGGCAGAGACCGACCCGGAACGTGGAAGCTGTATTACAGTATCTGATCCTTGTATGTGGTTTGGGTGCAGAGAAAGAAGAAGCAAATGGAAGGAGATAATTATAAATGGAGAAGAAATGAAACAGATCCCAGGTTCTTCATTTTCTGTCAGATCATGTCGGCCGACGGTGAAGGGATCAGCGGGAGAGGGAGACAAAGTCTTGGATTAATCCTTACAAGCTCAACAGCCAACTTCAGGGTCTGGGAGCAGCTAACGGCATTCCAGTCCTATAAATAATTAACGACTCTTTTTTTTTTTTAAAAAACTTTTCCCAAAACAAAAAAAACCAAAAAAGTTCTCATCCGTGGTAGCCAGAAGATGTTGCCCGTGCGTGCACGCACGGGATGAATAAAAATATGTTAAAAAATCTGCATTTATAAAATAATGAAAAATATTTAAAATTTAAGAAAAAACTGAAGATAAATCACTCGTTGAAAAATCAATTAGCAAATGGCCCGAGGATAATAAATTAGAAGAAGGAAGATAAGTTGTACACAAAGAAAATTAAGTTATATAGAAAGAAAATGATTTACACAAAATGTTACTTAAATTTAAAGAACTAATTTACACAAAATTAAGTTATAAGAGAAGTTCGGCTGCACAAAATGAAAATATCTCATAAAAGATTATTGCCTACCCGAAAAAAAAAAAGGATCATGCGCAAGAAAAGTTATGTTACACAAAAACCATTTTGTCAATTAATTTCTCAACAAGGATTTATTTCCAATTTAATTTGACATGAATAGAAAGCGCTTTTGTTTCTTAAAAGAAACAATTAAGGATTTGATTAACACTTGTATAAAAAGCAAACTTGCTTAAAAAAGACGTTACCCTTTGTCCCTAGTGTTCTGAAAGAAATTAGTCTCTATTTCAATAGAGAACACTCCTTATCCCAATTATTAAAAAGAAAAGATTGGCCAATGAATCATAATCTAAAGATTCACAAATTTTATAACTTGTTAGAGTTTTTACATATTATACATGAACAGAGATATTGATATTGACACTTAAATTTCCTTATATGTACTAATTAAAGAATATAATGAACTAAATTTTTCATCCCCATATAAGCTTCAATGAAAATGAAATTTGTATAACAAGACATCAAATCAGAAACAAAAACAAGAAATGAAAGTGGGGAGGAAGGTAACAACACAGAAAAGAACTTTTGTTTTACTAATTGCGTGAAGTGATTGTTGTCGTCTTTCTTTCTTTAATTTCTCTCCATGTTGTTACATGATGCATGTTTGGTTTATGAATCCTAAACTAGGGCTTCTTCTTCTTCTTCTTTTTTGATCTCACAGAATTAGTCAAAATCATATCTTTCTGATGAAGGAAGAAGCAAAATAACATATGAAGTCACAAAACCAAAACAAGAAGAAAATTAAAGTGACCATTAACAAGGATGTCGTGTTATATGTTTGTTGCTCTAAATTGAGCT